AATGCCATTAGCAGATTATCCGAGTGAAGAATCCTCGCAACAACAAGAAGGTGAAATGCATCTGGTCCTGGGAGGAAGCAGCACCATCCTCAGCCCTGGCCACACAGGAGAGGGAGARGCAAATCCTGTGCCCACACAGATCTCTGCATTGTCTGTTCTTCCTCTGGACAGGGACCTGTCCCCGTGTCCCCAGTTCCCAGCAGGGACTGGGACCACCTCTGGGTGCTGTGGGTGCTGCTGAAGGGCTGTGAGAAGGGGATAAAGCAGAATCCTCATCTGAGGAGATCCCCCAAGTGATTTGTCTTGCGCCTGTGTCGCYACAAATGCTGTAAATTACTGACATTTCTTATCTGGGGTGTCCTCCCCTGTGAAGATAACAGCCTGAGGAGGCGGCTGCTGCTGCTCTGATGGACTTCAGCACCTTTATCTGCCCCGGGAGATCTTTGGGGGCCARTCCGGAGATAGCAGGAGGATTTCTCAGGGTGGAGAGCCAAGGGGACAGGATGGGCAGTGTCACACAGTGACAGCCTGTCGCTGTCCTGGGCAGCCGTCGGGGTGTTCTGGTGTCACCAGGTTGTTCTGGTGTCCCTTTTCCATCTCCCAGGAGGCAAACCCAGCGATGCCCTGCTCCTGTCAGGGTGTGAGGGCATTTCCACGGAGCCTGAGCAGCCTCGGCGTGTGCCGAGCATCMGTAAAACCGATGGGAAGAGCTGGAGGTCCCCTGGGACAGTTATTAAACATCTCAGCCCTGAGAGCAAACCGGGCTGGAACAGAGGGACATTCACACAGCAGCTCAGCCCCAGTGCCAGGGGGGCAATGTCAAACAAACATCATTAATTTCCCTCTGCAAATCAATCGGGGGCAGGCAGGAGTCAAGCTCTGCCGTGCAGGAGATGCCCTGCAGTGGATAATCCTCCTCCTCCACGATCAGGGTGATCCCCACACTCCGAGGGCTCCTGCTCACCTCGCAGTAAATCAGAGCCTCCCCTGAGCACGATCTCTTGAGGGGATGATCGGTGAATTCCTGCCTGCAGTGCCCAGGGCAGTGTCCTGAGCTGACAGCACATTTCTGGGATGGATGGCTCAGCCCTTTACCTGGCAGCTCTGGCAGTGTGGGGAAGGCTTTGCCTTAGAGCCCGAGGGGATGCAGAGCCCTGAGCATCCTTCACCCCCATCTCCCCTCTCCCTGTGCTGGGGAGGAGGTGGGTGCCCGTCCTGGAAACGCTCCAGTCTGGAGACACACTGCAGRGCTGCCGCTGAGGAATTGCCGGCCCTGAGCGCTGTCTGCAGACAATAAAATATCATGTGATGTCTTAATGAGCCCCTCGGCATGTGACAATTGCA